CAATTTGGCCTTGGTTTTTTCTTTATAAACTGTAATAGAAAGCTTGGAGAAATTTAGGATAACCTACCCCAGCAGTTAGGAAGCTCCCATTCCATTTTCCCGTGCCTCTGGACCTGGAGGCTGTGAGATGCCATCACCTTCCCGTGAAGCATTTTACAGTACGTTCAGTTATGTGACAACTTCAAGGGTAAAGTTTTGCTTTTGTTTGACTTCTGCTTACTGCTCAGCTTCTATTGGGCAATCAGGAATCTTGATCCTTTGGGAGACTGCTTAAACCACCTTCCTTTGGATGCCGCTTCATAAAAGCTGCACAGCGTTTCCCATGAGAGTGATTTTGGAGCAAATTTTGTGTTTCATTTTTGTTTTCGCTCTTCAGGATGAAGTTTCCACACAGCATCCTGGCCAAAGCTGATTTGATTCTGGTTTATAACTTGAGCAAGGATGATTCCATCTATTTTGTTTATATTAAGAAAAATACTCATTTACTCCTAGGATACATAACAAAATTCTTGCACTTTTTAACAGCTCCACAGCTAAAAAAGCAGAGGTACAAATTTAGTATGTACATGTCCTCTCTGAGATTTGTTCTGGCATCAGTCACCAAGAGTAAGTTAATAGGATTGCTGTGTTTACAAGAAGCTCATGGACACCTATGGGATGCCCACAAACACATGAACTGGCTTTACTTTTATGTAATTGTATAGTTTTGTTTTATTTTATTTTTAGATTTTCACAGTGTATACGTAGGAACTTTTTTAGCAAGGGAGGAAAGGATCCAGTTGAACAGCACTTCTTTTTGGAGTAGTTATGGATGGCTATGTCAGTTGTGGAAGTTGAGGAAAGGTTCCTCTGCTGGTCTGACTCGGGCAGGTTCATGCATTTGAAGGGAGGCTTCTGTGAATGGGAGCTTGCAGGCACCAACTGTGAGAGGAGCCTCTCCTGGGGAGCAGTGCTTGGAACTGTGTGGAAAACCACTTGTCCCAGGCAGCACTGGACACAAGCCTGCGAGAGGAACAGGGGCAGCGAGCCAGTTTGTTTTTAACAAAACAAAGTTATGCAATATCATTTAGTTCTGACATGTTCCCAACACGCAGCAAATGAAGAACTCACTAAATACAGTATATCTCTGGCCATATCATTTGAATATAACTTGTTTCCATGACAACCTCTGCTTAACAGCTTGGCTGATATGAAATCATTCCTAGATGAGGGAGCTTTTGCCAAAAGCATTGGGATTCAACACTTTATTATCGTGTTTTAGGGTTTAAAAAACATTTATTTAAGCCTCTGGAAGCAAATATCAACTCAAATCCCTTCATCTTCACCTCTGCTTCGGCTCTCGGTTGATCAGTTTATCTTCCTGGGAACCTCTCAGGAGCAGCTCCTGTGTTACTTAATATGCTTCTGAAGTCCCAGGCAGTGTTTCAAGAGCAAGTGATCGTGACACCAGCATTTGGTAGAGAAATTACATTTCATGGCTGTTGGCTCGGGATGTGAGGTGGCAGCAGCAGCAGCAGCTGGGCACAGCAGCCAAGGCTTGTGCTCCAGCCATCCCTCAAGTCCAGGAAGGTTTATGTTCCAGCTAACTCGGTCTCAGAGCGAAAATGAGGAGCTTTGGCTGGAGAGAGGTCCAGCCCAACCTTTCACACCACTCGTTTTGTATCAGGAGCACTGAACAAACCCAGGCTATCTCAGATGTTTTCTAAGGTGTGGTGCCTGTCGCCTCGGACATAGCTGTGGAACACTTCCAGGCTGGAAATGCAGTATGACTGCTCACATGGTGCTTGTTCCCTTCCTCCCTTCCAGGTGCTACGCTGCATTAGAATGTAGCTAAAATAAGCCTAATGCTTTCCTAATATTTAGAATATAGCTAAAATAAGCCTAATGCTTTCCTAATATTTCTCATGTACGCAGGCACTCCAGTTGCCACAGTGATGGTGCACAACTCTCAGCAGGGGCAAGGAAGGTCCTGATGGTTTTAAGAGGCAGTGTGTCCCCTCAAAACACCACTGTATCATAGCAGGGGGATTTCCTGCACTAGCTGGGGCAGGGACTATGGGAAAATCTCCTGGAATAGGCAAATAATGTTTCAAGCACATGTAATGTACTCATTGCTGTCAAGATTTTGGGATCAGCAAGGATTATAAGAGTAGGGATTTAAATCTCAAGTAAAACTATGGAAAGAGGTATGAAGTATTCATTGTTTCTTCTGGCTGCAATGTACCTTCTTCAGCTCTAATTAGCACAGCATGGAGTGGGTTTGGGCCTTTGTGTGGCAAAAAGGCTCAGATGCCTGAAACTGGGTGCAGGCAAACAGTGCTGGGAGCACACAGAATAGGGCAGAACAACATTCCCTACTCCAATTTGGTGTGTCGTCCCCCCCCAGTTGCTACCTGGGAAAATTTCAGCTGTTACCCATCAGCAATTAGCTGAGTTAATCTACTGGCTAAGTCCTCCTCTCCTCCCCCCAGTCCTGCTTTATAAGGCCTGAGCAGAAAACTGCCTGTTTACCTGGAGAGCTCTGCAAGCAAAAGGATGTGGCTGGAAGAAGGTGTAAGGAGTGGAGCCACAAGCCCCTTCCCTGATGGTGAGCTTTAAGCAACTCCTCTCTGTACCCTGTTGTAGCACAGGGATGAAGTGTAACAGAGTTTGTTTCTGGTAAAGCTGCTTGAGAAGATACAAAAGCACAGGAGGCATCAGCAGGGTTTCCTTAAAAAGGAACCTTTCAAATAGATGGCAAATATCAATAAAATAAAATTTTAATTAGAGCCTTTATAAATACCTCTCTGAAGGTGGTAATAACTTCCTGGGATTTTTAATCTCTGAACGGATTTCACTCAAGGTGTGCTGGCAGCGCGAGGTAGCTGAGCAGAATCAGGATGCTGCGCTCGTGATCATTTTTCCTTGCAAGATTCGTCTTGGGAGACTCGTTCTTGCCTCTGTGTCACGACTTCTTAGAAATCTCCGTAGGCAAAGGATGCGCTAATTCGATGCATCCTGTGATTGCCCTTCCTCCACAGCCAAATTAATTTACTGTTAGTTGAGATTCCCGCAGTGTTCCTTGTGCCACTGTGAAGCCTGGTATTTACCGATGTAAATAAGGAATAAATGGAGGCTTTACATGTCTCATTTGGAATAATGATACAGGCTGTGCTGCCTGGCTCTCGCTCCCTGTCTCAGAGGTGTGGGGGTTGTACTTTTATATTGTTCCTTGCAGCTCAGGTTGTTTATAGCAGAATGATTTGTTTCCAGCCTGAGCTGTAATGTTTCAACTGATGAGCAGCTCCCTCATAATGGAATCTGGAGGTTTTCACTGAGGTATGTGGTTCCCATCAGAGGCAGGTGCTGGATTCAAAGTCAGTTTTTGTAATACAGCCTAGTGGGTTAGGCCTCACTTCCATAGTGATGCTGCTACATATCCAAAATCTAATACTTTGTTGGCAACCTCAGCAGAGGACACCAAAAACGTGTTGGGCGTGGAGACTGTCATCGGCAGTCAGGGAGGAAAGATGTGGCCCTTTGAGGTCAAAAGAAATTAGCACTCTCCTCCTCTCCTCCTGTCTTCTCCAGCTCTTCTGAGAAAATCTGTGCCTAGATACAGCCATTTATCGTAGGGGCTTTTTTCAGGATTAACATTTTTGGTGGGCTCACCATTAAAATAGAGAGAAAATGCTCGGAGTGGGCATAGCAATGAATTTTTAGATTCCAAGCTCTCCCAAATGGTCATTATCTTGCCTTCTATTTAAAGAGGAATAAATTAAATTGCATGAGATGGCGCAACTGGTTTCCCAGATCTTATTTAATTTGGATTAGCAGTTTGCATTTTCCATCTGGACAACATAATCATTAACTTTTTGTGTTTCTTTATTGTCACTATGCAGACTGCTTTTTATGGGTGATCTTTGCCCTTTCTCACTGTTAGATTTTTATTTCTTTAAAGGAGTGTGTCTTTATTGATTTTTCCTTTAGGATGAAGTATATATAAAATTATTCATCCTGCTAAATGTGCTTGCAAGGCAATCTGTGATTCATGGTCTTTGATCCTGCTATCACTTATGTGGGTGTTTAACTTTACTACTGTGCACAGTCCCAATAGGGAGAATCTTAATTTTAAAAATACTATTATAAAAATAATATGAGGGTTTTTGGCACATGTTGGATTTGCGAGGAACATCTCCCTGTAAAACCAAATATATAAATTAAATGGGCTGTAGAGAAGATGAGAAGACAGAGAGATTATTCTCCCCGAAGTCTGGAAAGGTTCATTGTCGTGCTGTCTTCATCCATGGTCAGCTTGCCCGGTGGCCATCCCTCCATTATGTGAACGTGCAAAGGTTTTGTGCCCTAAACCTTGGGTTTTTAGAGAGGTTTAGTGTTTTGGTCAGTGTTGCCGAGCCACACTGAGCAGGAAGGCTAATCTGCTCAAAAAGGCAGCCCTCGAGACGCATCAGGTGTGCGGTGTGCCCTATGCAAGAGCACAGAAGGGGCTGCCAGCAGCGTGCGCGGTGGGACGGGGGCTTTGGGTACCCTGTCTGCCCCCGCCGTGGGCAGACTCTCGTGGCTGTGAGTCTTCGCAGAGGTCTAAGGAAGCAGATCGGCGATTCCCCTGCCACAGGAGAGGCAGTGACCGGGCGAATGCCCGTGCTGGGTCAGGGTCCCTTTGGGGAGCCACCCGTGCTCTCCAATGGGCCCTTGGGCGCGTCCATCGCTGCCACCATCGGCGCGGCTCCCTCTGCTCCCTCCCCGTGCCGTCTGTCCCTTCTTCCCGTCTCACCCTCGCCCCTGCTCCTCTGTCCCTCCCCTGTTCCAAGCCCGCTCACCCCCGCCCCGTCCCTTGTCCCCTCCCCGCGCCCGTCCCGCCCCTCGCCCCCCCGCCCGCCCGGCTTGATGGCGCTCAGCCCCCCCGAGCGGGAGGCGCCGGGGCTACCGGGGCTGCCGCTCCACTCGCCCTGGACCTTCTGGCTGGACAAGTGAGTGGGGCCGGGGGGGCGGAGGGGAGCTGGAGAAACATCCCCCCTCTCCCCCCCCGTCCCGATCCGTCCGTGGAGAGCATCCCTGCGAGTTCTCGGTTCGCTCTTCCGACGGATTGGACACCGGGGAATTTACCCTTGGGCTGCGTGCGGGAGAAGCGCCGGTGCGAGAGACCGTCCCGGTGCTCGTCCCCATCGAGGAGGGAGCCGCGTGGTGAGACCGGTTGGGAAACGCTTTCGGTTTTGTAGTTGAACGGCCGCACACTGATCCAGGAAACGTCGGTGGAGGTTTGGGCTCTAAATTTAGAAATGACGCTCGACGGCCCCGGGAATGGAAGGGTAAAGGTTGTGTTTTGCTTGCTGTGGTTTGTGCATCCCTGCTGCTGCCAAAACGGACCCGGTCCCACCGGCCGGGACGTGCCCAGTCTTACAACTCTTTAACATCAGGTTTGGCTCCAGGAGGTGGTCAGTTCTTGTTTTGAAGGATTAGTTGAGATTTATTAATTAACTGCAGTGTTCATTTTGTGTGCTTGAAGTTGGCTTGGAAAGCTTGTGCCAGGGGAGCTCATCCCCGTGGTGCACACAGCGAGGCAGAGGGAAGAAGTACCAAAGTCAAAACTGAAACAGAAAGTTTATAACCAGAATTTGAGCTTGTTTTTTCAAGTGTGTATTTTCTAGCATCTTGTTTTTTAATCTTCTTTGTCCCCTTTTATCAGTTTTCTGGTGTATTTCTCCTCTCCACCCCTCTATTCCAGAAGCAAAGTTCTCTCCTTTATCAGCCTTTCTGCCATTGCTGAAATTCTCCCCTTTAGTTTTTTTTTTTTTTTTTTTGGTAACTTTTCAACTCGTGACAGGGAAATAACACAAAACTGTCAAAGGCTCACAAATATTCTCAGGTCCCACAAATCAAATCTAATAAATAAACCCACCAATAATTTCTGGTTAATCCTTTTGTACTCATGACATAGTTGTGGTCAGGTTCAGGGTCCAAGTCATTTTTTTTGGACATCTTTGTGGACGTCTTTGTCTGTAAAAAGCACCATTTGGACTCGTGTTTAAGCAAGCCCCCAACCAGATCTGTTTGTTTACACAAGCCATGTGGAGATAAGCAAGTCTATGCTTTATAATCAACATCGGAAGTTAAAACTCATTTCAAGTTCCTGAGTTCTATAATTTATTTTTTTTTTCTGAAGTATAGTTCCACTCTACTTTAAACTCTTAAAATGCAGTTACTGATTTTTTTTTTTTGGTCTTCTTTCAGATCACATATAAGTGCATTTAATTAGTATTGTTGCTTCTTAACTTAAATCCAAGAGTGTATGTATAAGGGGAAAAGAAAAGTGGGACCATATATACACAAAACTGTGTGTTTTGTTTACTGGCAACAACGATAGAATAATGGTAGGGAACAAGAATGATGGCAAACAAGGCATGTTTTATATGTCACAAAAACATTCAAGGCATTAAAAAGCAAACAGGAGATGGAACCATGAACCTAATTTTTGCTGCTGTGTGTGGAGGTTCACATCTCTGCAGAGAAGCAGCTGGGATGTTCATTGGTACATCCACGGAGATTTGATGGAGGAATCCCTGCTTAGGCTTGTATTGGATGGATTTTCTGTAGCAGATAACTGTAGGTGCTTTTTTAACTTACTTCAGTAGTACCTAGTGCCGAGCAGTGCAGTTTCCTCAGGAGGTGGTATTGATTTTTGGCTGCTGCTACATTTTACCCTGTACTTGGACTGAAAAGCAGGAAGAAGTGATGTGTAAGGATAAATAGATGTCGAGATGGATATGTAGTTATCTTTTTCTATTAAATTACTGTGAGAGGGATCCATGACATACAATTTTAAGATCTCTAAAATGTATCTTTTCATTAAGTCACGCTGTTAAAATAAATATCCATCAGCTAAGTGGTGCTTTGTGTAGCAACTAGTGATGTGCTACCCTTGGGGTTCATGGCCTTGCTTTTATCACAGCATCACCCCATACATCTCCTGCACTAGAAGTAAATGCCTTTGTTTGATCTACATCAGCACTTGTTTCTGTGAATGCCCTGGCACAGGCTGAACATCTGGAAGCTGGTATCCTGTGGCCAGGTCCTGGTTCATTGCCATCACCTCACACATGTCACAGGGCATCTGCATTTTCTGTAAATGCTGAGCCTTTCTTGGTATGTGTGTCTGAAATAGCAGCCACCTGATATCGCTGTCCGGTGTCCTGCCCCGTAAATGCCTTAGGAAAGTGAGCACGATAAAAGCTTTGGGAAAATATCATTCACCAGCTGGACAAATAAAATCCCATCTATGATCTTCAAATGCTTGCAGGTCAGCAGTTTCACAGAAGGCAGCAGAAAAGCTGGCAGCTGTTTTTCTTTTAAGGGAAATGAGGTTTCCTTTTTAATGGTTGAAGTGTCCTAAGGTCGTGCAGTAAAAGTTTGGAAATCAGCAGTTTGGATCTGCAGTTTTGTTTGTCTGTTCTGCAGGTTTCCAAGTTCACATCCATGTGTCTCATTTGCAGGACTTTTGCATGCAGTGGTCTTAGGGAGCATGGGGAATTTCAGCAGGTCTTCCAGAGGTTGTCAGTGCCACCTTGGGAAGCTGATTCATGCTGGTGGCTCTTTACACTTCTGTTAACCTTGGTGAGATTCTGGTCCTGCTCGTAGTGGCCTCTAGCTTTGAAGTGAAAGGTTACCAGTTTAGTTTTTCTACATTGTGTAGCCTTTAAATTATTTTCATGACAAAGTGTCAGTGTGCATCACTGAATACAACTAATTAAAAGTGAGGATTACAAATCTGGTCACTGTATTGGGGAGCACACTCAATACAGGGATTGCACAAAAGAAGTCAAGTAACATCACTGTCAAAGGCTGGGATGTCTTGCATAACAGGCCATTTTAGGCACTTAAAAACATCACGTAATGGGATTTGGGATTGTGGATCTGGGTATGATATTTGTATGAATACAAAGCTGGGAAACAGATTATGCTTTTTGATGTACTTGTGGGCATCATGCAAATATCCTACTTTGCAAATCCCAACTGTTACCTACCTTAGGTATCCCATGCCATCTTGTTGTGGTTTAACCCCAGCCAATAAAACCAAGCTGCACACAGCCGCTTGCTCGCTCCCCCACCAGCAGAATCAGGAGAGAACTGGAAGAGTAAAAGCTGGAAAACTCGTGGGTTGAGATAAAGACAGTTTAATAGGGAAACCCAAAGCTGTGCACACAATCAAATCAAAACAAGGAATTAATTAATCCACTGCTTCCCACAGGCAGGCAGGTGTACAGCCAACGCCAGGTGAGCAGGGCCCCATTGTGCATAACAGTGATTTGGGAAGACAAATGCCGTCATTCCAAATGTCACCCCTTCTTCCCTCCACTTTACAGACTGAGCAGGATGGCATATGGTCTGGAATATCCCCTGGGTGAGTTGGGGTCAGCTGTCCTGGCTGTGTCTCCTCCCAGTTTCCCGGGCACCCCCAGCCAGCGTTGCTGTACAAGTACCTACGTACGTGCCAGTGTGGCAGTACGAAAAGCAGAAGAGGCCTTGGCTCTGTGTGAGCACTGCTCAGCAATAACAAAAACATCTCTATATTATCAACCCTCTGTTCAGCACAAATCTAGAAATGTAGGCCCACATTAGACCAACTGGGAAAAAACCAACTCCACCCAGCCAAAACCAGCACACATCTCATGTTTAATGCTACACTGAGCTTTTCACTACTGAAATAACAGTGTTCTGGTAGCTGTTTGGCTTTTCAGCATCACAAGGAGCCAGAGGCTTTGTCAGTGGTAAGGGTTTTCAGTCCAGTGTGCACATGTGATAATGAAGATGTTGCACGTCCTTGCAAAAACCCATCGTTTAAGATCTCGCTGTGTCTGAGCTGCCAGCGCTGCTGCCAGACCGCTTTCAGTCAACAGCAAGGAAAATGCCAGAACCCTTCTACACAAATCAGTGCTATCAGGAGTTGGGCACACATCACACGAAAGCCTAGGACAGAATCCTCATTTCCAGATAAACCTCACTCCCATGGAACTCTGAGCGTGCAGCAGGGCAGGTCCTTTTGCAGGATCGTGCCCTGCCTGCCCTGTCTTCTCACCTGACTTCGAACAACGCTCTTTAGATAATTTTATTTCTGTTGCAAGAATAGTTTAACTCTTCAGGATCTTTGTGAGGGGAAGTTTGTGCTTATAAACATTGCGAAATATGCAGGGTTATTAGTCTACTCCAGGAAAGATGAAATATTCTTACATAAACGTATTATCCGTGCTGATTTTTCTCTCTGTATGTTATGAATGAGTTCTATATAAAGTTTAGTAGATAAATTTCGATAACTGAGCTATTTTAATAAAGTGTTAATCTTCTTAACTGAACACATCAGATGTTTGAAACTAAACTTAATAATTTCCCTTCTTCCCTATAGAAAAATCTTATTTATCTAGGATCATCTATTTCATCTATTACAGCTTATGAGTAGGTGGCTTACAATGAAAAATGATGGTTAATATTATAAGAATGTTCAACCCAGTAAGTGCATTTTGACAGGCTTTGATGGCTTGAAATCAGTCTTTGTATTCGGAATGGATTACCAGATTTATTTAGTTGCCACAGCATGTTTTTGAGTTTATGCTTTGTAAGTAAATATTTTGCTTATTTATACAAAAAGCAGTTGTAGTTAAGCACTTACAGGGGTATTTTCAAAACTGCTTGGCAGCTTTTAAAGATCCCGCTAAAGCCGTGATGAGATTCCCACCGGGAAACAAAGGCCAATGTGAGCACATATGAAACAACTTCTATACTTAATTCTTTGCAGAGAAACAGAAAAGCTACAGTTCAGCATCAGAAATTAACATAAGCACAACCACCTGGAGGTTTATTCATGGATAAAACAATGGGATTTATCTTTGTACCCTTTGTTCTTTATTCGTGCTGGAATAATGAAGGAGTGGTGAAGCAAGCTCGCATTAGGATTCAGTTTATGTAGATTATTCCTGTTTCCCTGTTCCCATGTGGTTCACTGTGAGATGCTGTACAGTGGGTCTGGCCTGATTAGGCAACTCAATTAGCCCTGATATTGCACTCAAATTTTCTCCCATAATGTCCTGGAGAAGCAGAGCAGTGGCAGCACAGGGCATGGAACAGGCAGACCAGCAGAACCATTGAATATTTTATGTGCAGACTCTCCACGGGGAACCCAGATGTGCATTTGTAGGTGGATTGGCGACAGGCCAACTACTTCCATCCCCAGAAGAGCTGTCGGTGCCAGGCTGGTGCTGTGATCCGTGTCGCTTCCTGTCACTGTGCTCAGGGGGACTGCCAGGGCCTGCTGAGTTCCTTGGAAATGAATTGTTCCATGGCAGTAATTGACAGGTCAGTACAGCATATCAGATTAAATTTATTGTTGATGGCAGTAAAATTATCCAAATGGGAGGAATCCTGTAATGGCTTCATTTCAAGGGTCAGTATTTTCAGGGTCTTGTTTTGTAGTACAATGTGTATTGAGATTTTCAGTAAAGTACACCACCATCTTACTACTCCTAGTGTATAGTATGTTTCCTGGAAGAAGTAGGAATTTCTACAGACTCCTTCAATTGGAAGTCATCTGCCATTTCTGCTAACTTAAACTTATGCGCTATACTCAGTTGAAAAAAATTAAAATCAAAACTTCATGGGTTTCAAGGCATGAAACCCCCCCAGTGATCATCTGGGTGGATCTGCTGAGTTTATGGGTGACTATCACAGAAACACTGTGGTTGGTTCAGATTTGTCAGCAGTCTGGTATTTTGCAGGAATTTTTCCTTCTGTCTGTCTGTGATTAGAACACTCTCTCTGCCTTATACACATCCATCAAACCAAATTTGCACAGGTGTCACTTCTGCAACAAATTATCCTGAACTTTTAAATTGATGAATCATTGTTTTCTCAGTTATGGTCTTTTCAATAGGGTTTTGATTGTTGGTTTGGTGTTTGGTTTTTTGTTTGGGTTTTTTTGGGGTTTGTTTGTGGGTTTTTTTAATAAAAGTGTTTGAGGGTTCATGCTCGTACCCATAAATGACTGACACTTTCCAGAGCTAGGTGAAAGGCTGAAATAACACTATGCAATCTTGAGGGCATGGAGCATTTCCCGGGCAGGTTACTAGAAATAAATGGTCACTCACCATAACTTTTAAAACAGATAATTTGCTGGTTGGTTGGTGCTTTCTGCCAGCTGATCACAGTTTCCCTGGAAAATGTTATCTGCAGCTATCAAAATGAACCATTTTATAACCTCAGAGTGGAATATTCTGTCTACCTGTCTTAGCTGCTCTTTTAAATGGCACTGAATTTGCTAAATGGCTACCATGATTATCTAGGTAACCTTTAAAGGCTATGGTTGGAGAACACATTTTAATCTTTTATTTGAGTAAACCTTACTACTGAAGCAACTCAGTGGCATTATCAGAATGAGGATATAGAGTGGTGATACTGTATGTTGTACAGCATATGTAACCCCACGTGCACTGGTGACTGCTGAGTTACTAAGAGTGCCTAAGAGAAGTAATTTCTTGAGCAGTGGCGTGGGACAGCGAGAGGCCAAGTTATCTCAGGTTTTGCCTGTTTGAGTTCTATTCTACATGAAACCAAGTCTTAGTAGAGAGGTGCTACTTCTGTCAGCAGCAAGGGATAAACAAAGTGTAATTTGTTGTGAATCCACTACTCCCTAGTGATAAATATCACCTGATAGGTTTCAAAGTCTGTTTTATTTACTACCTTTTTTGTGCATTCAAAAGCAATCTGACTGGCTGTCTCTGTTAAATACTGTGTGTTTCTTTTTGCTTTTCAATGCTGAATGTAAAGTATAAGTAAAACCTGCCAAAACACAAAAAAACCCCAAACAAAAAACCACCCCAATCCTTACAATGATAATTCTTTTTTATCACACTGATGACAGTTTTGTTTGTTGCTGGTTTCAAGTTATCAGTTTTTTCATGGAAGTTTTCATAATTCATGAGCACAGGACTAGAATCTGTGCCACAGCAATTTCTTGGGGTTTGTTTGCTTGTTTTTATAACCTCTAGTAAAGTGATTTTTGAGATTTGGACATGTAACGCTGTTTTCTTGCCAGTTCCACCAGTGTAACGTGCTCTCATGTTTGGTAATTAACAGGCAAATAGTAAAGTAGGTGTTAGTTTGCCTGTTCTATCCTGAAAAGACTGGGAGGGATTTTTTTCTGCTGGTTTTGTATTTTTAAAGTAACTTATGTTGATAGGAGCCTTTAAAAAACCTTCAAAGAGCTATTATTAGACTTTTGAAGATGCAATGATGTTTCAGTAGTTTTGCATATTAAATGTCTTTGTTTAAGTGAATGTCTAGGGTTTGCCCCAGAGCCTAAATTATATCTGTAACAACTGAGAGTAACTACAGTGTTTCCCTGGACATATTTCATGGTGATCAGATGTATCAGGGAGGGTTGCTGAGATCTGGTTTGCTTTTATCCTTTCTTCAGCTGGTACCTGAGCAACAGCTGCGTTTTCTTCTGTTTCCTTAAACTTCTTCTGTTGCCTCTGTTTCCAGATTTAGTCATTTTACACATTTTTGTTTCCTCTTCTGAGGCACAATGGGAGGTTGCTTTGTCTTTGATCTTCATTTTTCTTTAGAAATCCCACTTCAGCTTCTGAAGAGGAAAAAATGTTTCCAGTTCTAACAAATTGAATGTGCCTTAGCAATTTTTGACCTCATTCCTCCAAAAATTGTGTCTATGGGATTGTGTGCTGGGAATCGTAAGGTGGGTGTTACGATGCGCTATTAGCGTGGCGACAGGAGCCAAGTGATGTCTGGGGGTGTGGATGCACCGTCCCATGCCTCAAGCACTGAAGATTCATGATGAAGGTTATAAATAGAATCATTTAGGGTGGAAAAAGCTTTCCAGAGGATGAGGTGCAGCTGGTGCTGTGCGTGCCTGAAGGGAGCAGCTCCAGGTGGGAGCTGGGAATGGTCAATATGAGGGGGAGCTGGAGAAGCTGAACCATTCCTGGTGTACGAGGGTGTCTGGCGCTGAGGCCAACCCAAGGATCTCGTGGCTTTATGGGACGTGCTGGTGGCTTGAAGACATAGTGCCAATAGTGGAAGAGCTGCCTGGAGTCATGGAGGCTCCCTGTGTGCGTTGGGTTACACGGCACCTGGCAGGGGAGCTGCCCTTTGGGGCCTGTGCTTCTGCTCAGCCCGTGTGCGCATCCCATCCATCCGAGGGACCCGTGATGGTTGTGACTGGCCCTGGTGAGGGCGGTGCGGGGCTGAGGGAAGGTCCTGCTGCCATCCCGCCATCCCCTCCAGGATCCCGCCATCCCCTCCAGGATCCCGCCATCCCCTCCAGGATCCCGCCATCCCCTCCAGGATCCGCCGTCCCTCCAGGATCCCGCCATCCCCTCCAGGATCCGCCATCCCCTCCAGGATCCCGCCATCCCCTCCAGGATCCCGCCATCCCCTCCAGGATCCGCCATCCCTCCCAGGATCCCGCCATCCCTCCAGGATCCCGCCATCCCCTCCAGGATCCCGCCATCCCTCCAGGATCCGCCATCCCCTCAGGATCCCGCCATCCCCTCCAGGATCCCGCCATCCCCTCCAGGATCCCGCCATCCCCTCCAGGATCCCGCCATCCCCTCCAGGATCCCGCCATCCCCTCCACGATCCCGCCATCCCCTCCAGGATCCCGCCATCCCTCCAGGACCCGCCATCCCCTCCAGGACCCCGCCATCCCCTCCAGGATCCCGCCATCCCTCACGACCCGCCATCCCTCCACGATCCCGCCATCCTCCACGGATCCCGCCATCCCCTCCACGGATCCCGCCATCCCCTCCAGGACCCCGCCATCCCCTCCACGACCCCGCCATCCCTCCAGATCCGCCATCCTCCAGGATCCCGCCATCCCCTCCACGACCCCGCCATCCCCTCCACGATCCCCGCCATCCCCTCCACGACCCCGCCATCCCCTCCACGACCCCGCCATCCCTCCACGACCCCGCCATCCCCTCCCACGCATCCCGCCCATCCCTCCACCATCCCGCCATCCCCTCCACGATCCCGCCATCCCCTCCACCATCCCGCCATCCCTCCACCATCCCGCCATCCCCTCCACCATCCCGCCATCCCCTCCACCATCCCGCCATCCCCTCCACCATCCCGCCATCCCCTCCACCATCCCGCCATCCCCTCCACGACCCCGCCATCCCGCCGCCTGTGCGTCTGCACCACCTAGCGGCCCGCGCTGAGGGAGCAGCATGGATTATGTTCTTTTTCAAAGTGTGAAGCACTGGGAGTGCCTTAAAACGCTTTAAAAGGTGCTCTGAGGTGTATTAAGTGCAATTAAAAATAATTCCAGAGGATGACCATGCATTCCCTTCCTGGTAGCCCATCACCTGTGAACAGCAGGGCTCTGAGGGGGGGTGGGGGACCTGAGAGGAGCGCTGTGCTGCTTGGTTTAAAACTCCTAATTCTCCCATTTAATCAACATATTTTACAAATTACGTGGTAAATATTAACCTATTCACTAGTATATAAGCCTTTTTTAACTCCTATCTTTAAATGATTCGTGATAATTGGAGCTGGGCTTCCACTCTTGACACGTGAATATTTCAACCTTGCACTGATGCGATTCACGTTCCCTCTCCATCTCCTTTCTTTCCCTCCTTGATAAAACAGATGTTTTAATTAATCTGTACTTTGTTTTCAAGATCACTTCCTGGTACGACAGCAGCTGAATGTGCATCAAACTTGAAGAAGATTTATACAGTTCAAACAGTGCAGGTAAAGTGTCTGGCTCTGCTACAGGAGCTGCCACATGTTATTAATGTAACTTCACACCTTAAGTTTCGTTTTTCCTCGTAGGATGAGTCACAGCTGTGGCTTTGCTTACCTGAGGTGTGAAACGTGAGTTTTGTTGGAGTTGTGTGTGTGTATTACTGAGTCATTGTTTGAATTTCACTTGGCTTTCCAGACCAGGAAAGGAGGAGGCATATTGGATTGAACATATTGGATTATTAAATTTTCCTGAGTTTCCACTTGTACCTCGGGATTGTTATACTTGATGTGTTTTAATAATTTTTCTGCCTTTTTTTCCCCATGTTTTATTTAACACAGAAATTCATTATATGCAAAGACTAAAAATTGCAGCTTGTGGGTGGTTTTTTTTGGTCTTTCCTCCTTGAACATGAATCAAAAAAAAATAATTTAGCAAACTGACTTGAATGAAAGTATTCTTACATCATGGAATACTCACAGTAATGAGAAATTCTGCATGTCTGTGTCATCTGCAAGTGCCTAGCAGTGGGCATCTCTTGAAAGTAGAATTGCATTTCTATTTTAATACCACAGTTACCATGAAGTGTAGCAAATTGTTATTTGTCTCACCTTAATGCTAAGCTGACTCTAGTTCACTAAATCTCTGAAATTCTAAGGTAGTGCCAAACCCTTCTCTTTGAGAAGCACAGCTCTAGTGATCTACTGGAGTTTTAAACAGGGCTTTCATATATAATATGACCTTCCTTGAGGAAGTGAAGCCAAAATCTTCCTTGACTCCATCACTGTCCTTCATGGCCAGTACCTACTCAATGAGGAATTCCAGCCTTCACCACCTGAAGGATGCTTTCAACCCCAAACCTTCCAGACCAAGTCCCTTGTTCAGGATATAAAGAGCTCTCAAATGTTTCCACAGCCATCTGCCTGTGTAGCTCTGCTTCTTTTTCTGGCAGTAGCTTTAGGGTTTGGGCAAACTACCTGGTAAGAATAAGACAGAAGTTGAAACAGGTGTTTCTCTCTTCTCGTGACTGGGAAATGGTAATGGCTGGTAGGCAGAGTCACCAAGGGCCGCAAAATTTTATCACATAATGTTGCAATCTTTGTTTCTAAAACTGTGCTAATGATTAAGTATTAGATAATACTTAATGTATTAGATAATACTTGACTATTATGTGTAGATAATACTTAATGAGTTGCACTACTAATTAATATTGCATCACCACATGTTGCTGCAACTTAAGTCTTTAAAAATCTCCTTCCCAGCTGTTGGATAAAGAAGAACAGGGATTGGGATCTTTTTAGTCATCCCTCTCTGTTGCTCACTACTGCTTTTGGGTGCCTTTTATCCACTCCAAACATGCATGACAGTTTCTGCTTTTACCAGCACAAACACTGGGAAGTAATCCAATGGTTCCTGGTAAACTTGGATTTTCTGATTTCTGTCCTCTTCCTATATTAACATGTGCATCTCATGTTCTCTGCATCTGGTTGAAACCTTTCATTTAGACAAAGTAGTTGGGTTGCTGGTTAGGCATTTAGTTCACCAGAATTATTGTTTGTGGTGGTTTTGTAACTCAGGATAATCACAATGAAGTTTAGGCTAGGCTATTTGATATAAATATTTTTTATACATACTAATAAAATACTATGTACTGCTTTGTTCTCACATGCTTAGTGTAAATCTGGTTTTGATTATTTTTGTCTCCCTCCCTATTGAAAACGACCTTGATTCTAAAATAATCCCCAGTTTGACTGCTTCCTTTCTTTCCACCTTCACTTAGGCAGAATTGGCATCTAAAAAAAAAAAGTAGAAATTCACTTGTAACAAGTTCTTTCCCCAGCATTTTGTTGTAACATAGAAGATGCCAGTTCTCTAGGAGAAGGATATATAATTGTTTTACAGATAGTTAGCAAGGCAGTAAATCTACATGAAACATGCTCTCTGGTGTTAATACAACCAATATTTTTTCTTTTCAAGGATTTTTGGAGTGTCTACAACAACATTCCCCCTGTGACAAATTTGCCTCTGAGATGTAGTTACCATTTAATGCGGGGAGAAAGACGCCCACTCTGGTACGTGTGTTGTCATTAGACATTTCTGGGAATGGGCAGTGGAAGAACCTGAAGGGTAGAAAGGAGACAGGTGTGGGACAGGAATGTCTTGTTTATGTTTTGTTTTAAGTCTATCAAAGTAATTTTGTATTTTAGGAAAGGGATTGCCAGAGGTTGATCTCATCATCAGTAACCCACTAACTTTTCAGTAATTTCTGCCAAAGGTATATTGGCCAATATCAGCATTTGTGTGTGTATATATATATATATATGTGTAAATTTTTTTTTTTAGACAGAAAAACAAATTCTGAAGTAAGAATTGAGGACTGCAGGTTTTGGAAAATGTCCCCCAAAGTTTCCCAGCTCCTTTCCCCAGCATCTGTCAGGATTGGAATATCTAAACCCAGTATGAAACCTGTGGAAATTCCCCAGGACCAACAGTCTCCCACCAAAGATGAATTCTAGGTTATTCCTTTAACTTTGCTTTTACAGAGCTTTAACAGGAAAGTAAAAGCGATAATTTAAAATCTTATTGAATGAATTGTGGCAGAATAAACTTGAGGAGCTCAAGGTTTGTCATTACAAGGCAGTTTAATGGTTATGTCTGCCCTGACCCTGGGCAACTTCAGTCTTTTATTAATATGAGCAAATAATTTCTAGCTGCCACAAAGCTGAAATGAAGTGTTCTTTTGTTAAATTGGATAAATGGAAGGCTAATAAGTTGCTTCTGTGAAAATATGCCAGAGGTTTTCCAAAATAAGAGGTTACCATAGTGAAACGTAAAATTGTTTTGTAGCTTGTTCCCATACAGTGTGCAGCCACTTCAAAGAATGTCTGTAGTCAGGGAAAATGTAAGTATTTTCCAAGACACAAAACTTAGGAAAGGGATTAGGTGTTGAGAGATACACTTCATATGAACAATGAAAGAATTATCTGTGATGTCAGAAGTCAGAGTCATGCTCCCTGGAGTTAGTAATTGCATTTCAGATGGGATTTTTCTGGGAAAATTAAACCACAAACGTAAGGTTATCTAGATGGGGACTTGAGTGTTTATTTTCACTGATCTATTTCCCATAACAGGGAAGAAGAAAGCAATGCCAAAGGAGGTATATGGAAAATGAAGGTCCCCAAAGAAAGTACGGTATGTTATGTTGACTTCTTACTCAGACCTTGTTTAGTAAGGGAGTTTCTTTAAACTCTATCTGATAAAGCTGTTGTAGAACTTTTTACTTCTGACATCATCCGACACAACAACCAAATGCTGTTTTAACATCCATAACCTTTTATATACAATGAGCAAAGTTTCTTTTCCAATAATTCCATATCTCTTGCTTTAGATAACATTTGGCAACGTGTTATCAAGCAATTGAAAGCTGCAGTGTTTCCATTTGGAAACATGGGAATTTATAATCACCTTTGTTCTTGAGACTGTTTGCTTACAGGCATACAAAGGAAAACAGGAAACCTTTTCCTGATAATCTATGCAAAATTATAGAACCACAGTAACGCTCTTCAGAAGTCAACACAGCACAAGAGTTTCACTGAAATACTCCTGAACTCCCTGTCAAACTCTGTAGGACTCTGTTTTGATCCCTCTTGCACTGGCTGTGATGCTCATCAGACTGTTTAATGAGCCAGCTTAGTGCACTCTGTAGTTGCAAAAAGTCTCCTGGTTTTTTTTCATTTTTAATTAGAGTGTATGACCAGGAGAGTTTTTTGATGAGCATAAAATAGAAAAGACAAGTAGGATCATCCCCTTTGGCCACAGTGAGTTGTCAGAGCACCTTGTGTGCATTTTGGGAAATTGCAGTGCTGCTCAGATTTTTTTCCCCTCCTTTTTTTTTTTTTTTTTTTTTAATTTAAAAGTGTTAAAGATTAAGTCTGTTCAGGCATGTTGTTGTTTGAGCCTTCATGAAATAACTGGGTTTCTGTTTGCATCCCTAATCAAATGCATGTGAGTAACTTCTCCTGTGAACTGCCAGAGTGAGGAGATTTGACCTCTTCACACTTGGTGTTTATGTGTGCAAGTGTGCTTTGGATCAGGCCTTTAAACACGAGAAGTGAAGTGTCAGAAAAATGTGACAGCCTTGCAGAAGGCATTAAATGCTGAAAGATGGCACTCAATTTCAGCCAAAAGTTAATTGATTTTTGCCTGTGGGCTCTTTCCTTCTATGTGAGTTGCAGCTTTCCTCCCCTGCAGTCCCAAGTGATCACAAAAGACTCAAATTGTCTTTTTCCTCTTATAATCCAAGGTGTGAAGATTGTCAGAAGTGACAAGTGGTTTGGGGAGCCTGCATTACTGGGCAGTGAATTTAGGGGCCCCAGAGGCCTTGTTTTTCAGAGGCTGAATGACAGCCCATTTTTGAAATGAAGGTACTTTTGATCTCTCAAACTACGCACACATGGCCCCAGTCACTTCTGAAAGGTTTGCTTGAAGGTGAACTTCAGTCAGCTTTCAGTGCCTTGTAAATAACATAAATAATACCTTTATGCCTGTTTCTCATTTTTTGGGTTCATTCTTCATCACGTGTGTGCACAGCATCTCCTTGACTGAGATGAACCATCTCCTACAGACCTAACTACTAATTATATAACACAGCATGTACTTGAAATAAAAGTGCTTTTTTTTTCTAGACAACCTCAGAAAGAGAAGACACTCAAAACTGAGCTAGCAAACCCAACTTTTAAATTAAAAAACAATAATGCAAAGGTAACTTTTTTTTCTGCTTCCTCAGGCTGCAGTTTGGAAAGAGCTACTGCTGGCAACTATTGGAGAGCAGTTTACAGATTGTTGTGCAGCAGGTAATGATTGGGGCAAGTGTGACAAATGGAATTGGAATACAGAACATGGTAGCATTGCTAAAAATGGGGTGTAGGGCTGGAAAGCCTGTTCATACCTATTGTCATTAAGAAGAGGACAAGGTATGCTGACTGCCTTTGTACAAGACTCAAGCTCAACAGCTTGTGTCTGTGGGAAACCAGCAGGTTTTCTAGTTATTAAACATCTGTCTGTTAGCCAGTATGTAAATAATTAATTTCTATTCCCCAGTATCAGGATTATGGAACCCTAAATGGCACTTCCATACAGACTGTTTGCATTGTAACTGTTGGAAACAACTAAATTAGATCAATCATAAAAGGTTTGGGTTGGTAGGGACATTAAAGATCATCTAGTTTTAAACCCCCTGCCATGGGCAGGGACACCTTCCACTAGAGCAGGTTTCTCAGAGCCCCATCCAACCTGGCCTTGGATAGATGCCCCCATTTGCCCTCATGATCCCTCTGGTTAGGAATTGTCAGGGGAAGCACCAGTGCAGACCTGAAGCAGAGGGACACTGCATGGTTTGCCTGTGGTGACATTAAAAGCCCATAGCAGGGCCACAACACAAACCTGGCTCTCCTGAATCCCAGGTTAGCACTCTAGCCAGAAGCAATATTTTGTTCATTGCTTAAAAATACTGCTCAGGTCAAGGTAATGTTTGATGTAATTGAATTTACGTAAATATTCTAAAAGTACTTTGCTGGTTTACTGGAAAACGGGCATTAATCATCCAGAAGCTCACATATTATTTTGGTCAGAGGTAATAATTTAATGAAGTGTCCCTTTCAGAATAAATATCTTCTCTAGGCTTGCAGGGTTCCTTGCAAGCAAAGGAACTCTGTGAAGGGACTATGAACACCAGCTGCTTTAAAACAGATCACCAAAGGCAACTTCTTAGTCATGAGAAGCAAGTACAAGTCTGACCATTTAATTCATTAAGGTTCTGTTAAAGAATAGTTTCTTGCTTCTGGGTGAAGCAAACAATGGACTTGCTGACCTGCTGGACTAGAGGGAAGGTGTTCTGGGAGCTGTTACTAAACTAACTTTTCAATTCAAATGGCACTTCTCCCTCATTTCTTTTGACTGTGTTTACTTCTCTCCTAAGCATGAATGTCTGACTAAACCGGCTGTTACAGTGGCTGTGAATATCCTGTTAGGAGTGTCCCTTCACTGCTCTATCATCCCATAAAAAAGAATTGCATTACTCAGGTTCACAGAGCAGTTCAGCAAAGACCTTCCAAATGGTCTCTCACACCCTTTATATACTGATAGGGTTGACTAGGGGTCACTTTATGATACTCTGCTGCCTACAGAGGTAGTTTTTTCCCTTGTCCATGTGCTTTTGACACCATGTTTGTGTTACCATTGCTGACCCCTCCCTTAGGATGCATGGGAAAGCTGTGCCATGGAGCTCACAGCTGGAGGCACCCACTGCTCACAGTGGAAAGCTGTGGCTTGGCCTTTGAGCTCTCCATAAAGCTGAATCCTGAGAATTTCACACCAAAAAGGGCTTTTGCAGTAAAACATGGAGTTACCAGCACTGGCAGCATCAGCCTGACTGGGGCTTTATTAATTTCTCTTTTCCCTTTTTTTCTGTTGCTCTCTTGACAAAATGTAAAGGAAAAAGGGAAAAAGTCTGGAAAAGCTGGTGTCTGATCTCCACTAGTACTATTCCTGGGGTTTTAGTTGTTTCGCCCTCATCCTCACATTTGTGCTAGTAGGCATTATTGTAGGTAAATTATCTTTAGTAGTTCATCTTGCTGACCTTACTGAAGGGAGCCTTGTGATTCCTTTCTTATCAAGTATAAGAGTGCTAATAGCAAAGATGAATAATCCTATGGCACTTCATAAAAAACACTATGAGGTAATATTTCCAATAGCTTCTATAAACACAGTGGTTCTTTCTGGTAACTATTTTGTCTGGTTTGAACATTGGTATTTTCCTCACTGGAGATTGCTCTTTTTTATGTCTTCATTTTTTTCCCCAGTTTTTGGGCACTGTTTCATAAAACATAAGTACCAAATTAGACATGTCTCACTTTTAAAGTATTCCTTAATGATTCTTCCCCTTCTGTGCAGAAGATGACGTAATAGGGGTTAGTGTCAGTGTTCGGGACCGTGAAGATGTTGTGCAAGTCTGGAACGTGAATGCCTCTTCAGCAAGTGAAGCAAAAGTCCTAGAAAAGATTCATGAACTTCTGCCACACACATCTTTTAAAGCAGTCTTCTATAAACGTGAGTGTTTTGTACGGTTAATTTCCACCTTCATTAGAAAAACAAGATGCTGGGAGGGTATTTCCATGGGAATATCCTGCCTGATTCATCGTTAATCACTTAGGAACGCAGCATCTGTCATTGCATTAAAATTATGTCCCTTTAATGTAAAAGTTAGCTATCATTCAAAAGATATTTTCAATTTAATCGTAGAATATATTTGGTTTCATGTTTAATATGCCTGAGTCATAAAACAAGTGAGACAAATCTCTTGATAACTCTCAAGGCTACATGCTGTTCAATTTAAGGATTAATTTAGAAGGAACCATTTGCCATCAGGATTTTAAGGGATCTCATATTTTAGTATCTCTATAAATGTATTACCAGAGTAGTGTATTCCCAAAGATCACCTGTTGGCATGTTGTGTCTTCCTTGACTGATGTATACATTGTTATCTTGTGTTATTTTAATATTTTCCTTGACATAGTTTACGTATTCTTTTATTCTTTTTTTCCCCTTCTCTCTTCCCTAGCCCACAGAGAGCATCATGCTTTCGAAGGCTGACATGGAAAGCATTAAGTGCAGTGTGTGCCAGGCTCGTTTGCTGTTCTTTGGTGTTTTGAGGTGGTCTGGACCAGGAGGAGGATGGTGGAAGCCCTGCAGAAGCACTGCAGGCAGTTGGTCCTTCTGAGTTTCTGACACTTCAAACTGGGCTGTTGCTGTTGAAAATGAAGAAAAGCAGTTGCCTTGACCGCTAACCGCGCAGTTCATTACTCCATGCTGAGTTGGCGCTTTTAATTCTTCATTGTTTCTTTAAGAAGATATTTTGGCCACTTGTTTTTTTCAACCTGATTCTATATTCCCATTTCATTGAGATAGCAGGCTTGCTTTCCTTCTGTACTGTGCTTAGTGAAGAGCAAACGTGCACAGAGATGCTGCACTCTGAGATGTGCTTTACATAGAGGAATGCTGGCTCGAGGAAATGTGTTTTCAATTTTCACTTTGAGACATTCCTATCATGTTAAGAATTACCCACTGATTTTGTCCCGAGAGAGAAAGAAATTGCACTGCTTTTATTCTAATATTCTAATATTCAGTGTAATCTGGTTGTGCTCTGACAACAGCACACATACTGTAAATGTAAATAGAAAAGGGTTCAATAAATTATATGCATTATATTGGGACTAACCCTCTGTGGGATGATCTTAATATCTTTTAATATCTTTTGTACTGATTTCAGAAGAACTCTTGTTCAGGCTAGAATGAGAAATTTTTTGGTAGAAAAACCTGCAAACTCCACCCCATCTTATTTAAGAAGTGATGGGGTGTTTATGTTTTTATATTGTGTGCTTTCTTGTGGTACATTTCTGTACTTCCATGAAAAAGTGTAGTGAATAATTTCTAATGTGTTTTACAAACTGGATCCATCCCTCCCACTTCCAGGAGTACTTCAGGCCCACGTCTGCACCCACTAGGTCAGTGTCAGAATTGCTGCTGACTTCAGTGCTAAGGAAGAGGCTCCATCGTCCGTAGTTTCAAGCCATCAAGACTTCCTAAGTGACCTTTATAAAACAAACAAAAAATACCGAAAAGAAATAGATTCTGTGTTGCAGCAAGAATAGGAATGTAAACAGCGTTAACCTTTAAATGTTTGTCTACATTAACTATTTGAGGTGCCTTAATAGACTCCCAAAGATTGATTTAGTTCCTTTTACAAGAAAATGCAAGGTAGAGATGAACATACTCTCCACTGAGCACTCCTTCCTCGTTTAGAGGTTTTTGTTTGGCAGCTGCTCAAGTTGCACTGATTTCCATATACTAAGGAGACAACCATAAAAATCAAATAAATTTAAAAATAAGTGTCACACATTTGAGGGTTTTTTTACAACTTTATCTTGTGTTTACAACTTTAACTTGTATTTATGAACTGTGCAGTTAATGAGCATTATCAATTAAACACATCTTCTAAAGTCCAAATGTCTTGCTTCTGTAACTGCTTTCTGAGATGAAATGTTACTGGTCCTGTTTTTTCCAACCTGTGTATTTTTCAGTAAAACTTTCTTAATAGCTATCTGGTTTGTTCATAGATTGAGTTTTTTTTTTTTTAATGAAAAAGTATGGAGTGACAGCAGATACTTGCAGGTGGGATGTACATGGACAGCCTCCAGGCCTGTGAGATGGAGAGGAAAAGTGACTTCAGAGAAGAGGGGGTAGAACACATTGAGGAAAAATGTTTATAACAGCTTGATGAGCAAGAATATTCACTTGAAATACTTCCCTGTCTTTGGAGGAAATGTGAGTGGAATACCAATGGGGAATTAATCACACACCTCTTCCTCCTCTTTGTTTTACTTTTGGAAACAAGCCAGACTCTCTTACCTCTCCCCCAGGTTTGTTTTCAGCACGGATGTTGATTTCGGTAGAGCTGGATCTCCTGGCAGGAATGGCTGAGCTGGTGATGTCACTGGAACTTGCTAATTTAAGGTATTACTTTATTCATCCTATTGAAGGAAATTATTTTTATGTTGTTGCCTTGTGTGCCCCTTTAATATTAAAGACCCCTCTGTTTCAACTTTGGGTAGAGACTGAGAGAGACTTTATTCTGCCTGTAGGGCAGGGTAGCTGCACATCGACTACTAAAGCCCACACTACAAACTCTTGTCAATTTTTCTTTGGTCTAAATCCCTAGTCTATAAAATTACGGATTTCTTTTTTTCCATATGGCTTAATTCTGATGATAGTTATTATTACTTAGAATCAGGGTTGATGGATATGTTCTTGACTAAAATTCAGCGTATCGTATGCCACAATCCAAAATCAGACTTGGATCAGACTGGGTAGGGCAAGTTCACAGGAACATGAAAAATTGCATATTGGTATTTTGCAACCATTGCTTTAAAGACTTTGTAGAATTTTTGAACTGTCCTTTCATCCCTGCATCTATAGGGATGTATTTATTCCAAATGATGTTGAACAGTTAATAGTTTTACCCTTTTAAATATTTATTATTTTCACCTGGAGATTTGCTGTATTGAACTTCATTAAATGAAGCCCCCACTTCTTCAAAATCTTCTGAATTGTTTAAATGGAAATCAAAGAAGTGCCTTCCTGTCAAAATTAATTTCTGCTGGCATTTCAATGTAAAATTAACTTTCATGATGACAGACAGTAAAAAAAACTCCACGGATTAGCTGAATGAAAGAAACTTGCTTCCCTCTTGGGGTGGGAACAAGCCCTGGCTGATCCCTCCCACACTGGGATGGTGCCCTTGGGCTCTATCCAGGAAAGCTGAATCTTTTCACATAGCTGGAGCACTGTTTTTTGTGAATTTTATAGAAACTTCATATCCTTGGTACACCTGTCCTGCCCCCCTGGGTCTGCTGGGTGTGGAGTTACGGTCACATGGGGATTGTTCTCTGTGCCAGGTGAGATGAGAGGTAAGAGGAGAGCTCTGCTGGGGTTTCAAAATGTTTGTAGCACCTCATAAAAGCTGGGGAAAGTTTTGCTGCCATGTGGTGGTAAGTGGAGGATGGTGGGGAACTGGCTGAAGGGGAGCTGGTGGCCTCTTGCACGGACACAGACTGTGTGGAGGGAGGAAGGGAAGGAGCCTGGGGATGCAGCCCAGGGATGCAATGGGAGTGCCAGCCCCGGGGAAAGAGGAGCTGCTGGCTGGGCTATGGCCAAAGCCACCTGTGAAAACGGCACCAGGAGGGAGAGCTGTGGAATAAACAGCTTTTTACATCTGAGTACAGCACTTGCACTGATCTGCACCTTCCAAGGGCTGAGGACAGTCGCTGGCAGCAGGCAGGGCCAAGCTCTGATGCTCCCCCCACCTTTGGGGGCATCTCTAATAGCTCTCTGGGGCTCCCCAGGCTGCAACACAGTGGCTGCTGGAGGGATTAGTTGGGAATTTCACTTAACAGGGATGAAGGGCTGTCTTCTGGGGCTGGCTAATTAACAGGATTCTACTCTGGTAATTAAATAGCAGTTTGTTGAACACAACTTAGTTGATGAAATCTTCGGAAAACATAACAATTAGCAGGCAAGGAATGGCAGCTTTGCCTCAAAAGCCTGTCCCCAGTCAGTTGCTGGTGTGATTTTAACCTTTCATTCCCCAGCAGAGATGGTGTTAACTATGAATTTTTTTGTTTTGTGCTGTCCTAGGACAGCTTGTTCACCCTCTGCTGTCACAGCAGCTGGTTCCTCCAGGGTTTTATCTCAGCTACAGGGGCTTGAGATGCGCCACATGTTGCTTTTTCAGAACACTCTCTGGTGCTGCCTTCTTAAAAGCCAGCACTGGAGGACAGGAGGGTTTCCACCAAAACAAAAGAATAGTTTTATTTCTTTATTCTTCCTATGGCAGATTGACCAGAGGGGATGAAGTTTAGAAATTGTCTTAAAACATAAACCTTATGGAAGAAAATTGCTGATCCCTCACAGCTTATATAAACCCTCCCATCACACACACACATGGAAGGGAGGTGCTTTCAGATGGAAACCGTTCCTGCCTTCATCTCTCCACTCCTCCCTCTCCTGTAATGATTCTCTTAGGACAAGAGGATGAGGAAATTAGATTAGACAAACAGTGGGAGATTCGAAGGTTTGCTATAAAAGCCACCTCCAATCTTCACTACACTTTGACAGCTCTCAGTTTCTTAATTTGACAAGTTAATGAAGGCTGTATTTCCAAAGCCGTACATACTGCACTGCCAGGGAAGGGGGGCTGTGCTCTGCACCAGGACTGCCCATCCCAGCACCTTCCCCCTCTTGGAGGCTGCAAAGAGCATCCTTGGAGGGGGGTGGTGTGTGCTGGAGCTTGGGGCAGGGCTGGCGTTTGGAGCTGCAGTGTTAGTGCTGGGTTCTGAAAGGTGCTCCTGTGCCAGGAGTCAAGTGGCCCTGCCCCGGGTGTGCGTGTCATCTCCGAGAAGCCGTGCTGCAGCATTTGACCTCCTGGTGTTTGGCTTGGCTGGGCAGCACATTGTTTGCTTCCACTCTCCCCGAGGCTGTGCAGACAGTGGAATGGGCCGGCTGAGCCAGCCAAGCTAAATACAGCAGGAGACATCCTGCTCACACCTCACAGGCGCAGCATTCCTGGGGCAGGCCAGTGGGCACCCATGCACCTGCGTGGCTCTGAGTCCAGCCTGGTGCTCTGCTCTGAGTCATAGGATGGGAAAAAGGGCTTTTAAATGTGCTGGGGAAACTACCAGCTGCTGGGAAGAGAGTCAGTGGGAAGTGCAGCACCCCTGGAGCGGTCCCAACATGTCCTTGCACAGCAGTGAGGCCAGGAGCAGAGTTTCAGATTTTACTGATCCCCCTCCAAAGTGCCTGTTCCAACTCCAGTGCCCACGATTGCTTAGTCTTGTGGAGGAACTGGGAGAGAACTGTATCCATCAGTGCACTGAGGCTCCATAAATAAGCACATCCAAGCAGGCTGGAAGCAGAGAGCAAAGGCAGCATCATTTATCATATGAGGGGGCCTGGAGTATGTTCCAGCTCCTAATGAGTAAGGGAGAGCAGTGTTATGAACAGGCATGGGATGAATCCCCTTCTTTTTGGATCATGGTTCTGTGTAATAAACATGCAAGACAACTTGTATAAAATAGTGAGGATTCTTTCCTAGAGAAGTCATTTAAAGCTATATTTGCACATAAGGGAACTGTTCGGAGGAACGTTTTGTAGTTACATTTCCATACAAGTGGGCAAAGAGAAAACAACACAGTCAGCAAGTGATGGATGTAATCCTGTGCCATGCTTTGCCCTCCCTGGGCTCATAACCGTATTCCATGGCCTTCCATCACACCAGGGAACCACCCACCCTGGCACCCTGGACCTCTGCCTCCCCCTGCAGCTGTCAGAGCCATGGGGTGGATCACACAGTAAATCCAATCAAAGGTAGAAGGGATTTTTCCTGAGTGTTTTTTGGTCACAAAACAGCAGGTTTAGAGTAGGAAAATCCTGACCCAAATGCATTAGCACTGCTGGCTCTTAGCAACGTTTCAAAATAATATTTGCCTGTAAAAGAAGAAGGTAGCCTGCTAGGTAAACTGGGAAATGATCCTGCAGTGTGCGGCACAGGCCTGCACAGAAAGCTTCATTGCCTTTTTTTTTTTTCCCACTTTGGCATAATTTGGGGGTGGGAGGTGGAGGACTTTTTTGTTTTGTTTGTGTTCAGTATTTCCCAGCCACCTCATTAGTCGTTCTCTACATCTACACCCTGCAGCAGCTGGCAGCATCACTCTTCTGGCTTTGTGTCCCAGATCAGCCACCCTCTTGCTCTGGCCGTGTGGTGAGGGGTCACCTGGAGGTTTTTCCTGCAGGACACCTGACCATAGGAGCCCAGGCAGCCCCTCTCCATGTTTCCAGAGACAATCCCCCCTCTGGAGTCAAACCAATGACAAAAGTGATGTGAGTATCCTCATTGCCTTCACCTCCATCCTTCCTTGTTCCTTTTTTACCTTTTCTAGCTGCTCACAGCCTGTGTCCCCTGAGCACCTCTCCCTCCTTCACACACTTCTCGAGTCAGCCTGAAGTCTGCAAAAGGCTTCACATAAAAAAACTCTGCTGATGGTTGTGCCACCCTGCCACGCTCTGGGTAAACCTCTCAGCTTTCTTTGGGGTTTCAAATCCTACCAGACCCACAGTCTCAAGAGAGTCAAAGCCAAACCAGAGGGATGGATGCAGCAGAGGGGGCTGAGCCCTTCCTCTGTGATGTAGAGGTACCTGCCAGGGAGCTCCGAGGGCAAGTGCTGCCCCTCCTTCTTTCTAATATTTTCCCTCATTGTTTTTATCAGATATAGACCCCTGAGCAGGGTGGAGCTCTTGGTGTTTGGAACCCCCATGGGCATCTACTGCTGGAAGCTTCTGA